TACCTTGGTGTCGTCAAGCCAGATCTCACACGGACCAACGTGCACAAGAGCTCGCGAGAAAGTGGCCTTGCCGTCCGTGGGAATGGGCTGCGGCGTACCGTTCGGGTCAGTGAAACCGCAGTCGGCGCCGTAGACGGACGTGTCGTCCATGAGAGTCTTCAAGTCTTTAAAGTTGTTGGCCGACTTGAGAGACTTGAACGTTTCCACGCTTCCTGCGTTGTTACCATCCCAACTGTCACTGGCCCAAACGGGGTCGATCTGCACGATCCAAGCGGAATTGGCGGATCCCTGGAATTGCGACTCTGGGATCAGCATGTAGCCGTGAGCATCCGTGTTCGGAATCGAGGCCGCCAAAAGAACGGCGGCCGACGCGAAAGCTGCTGCAGTGAACATTTGCTCGTGAAGTGATTGAGACTTGTGGATCGGAAGGCAAATATGAGAATGAGAACTTGTGAACAGTGTTCGAAGTCACTGAACTGTGTGGAGTATCACTAGTCTGCCCCTGGAGAGTCCCCACGTGCTAAAGGTGCCTACTGTATCATACAGTTGTTGCTTCAGGTCATGTCGTATGGATCACTAGAGAAACAACTATCCTAAAGCTTGACCTTTTGACTTCAACTAAACAGGCGGCCAATGGATCAAAGACCATATAGCCGCAGGATTGACATTGAACGCTACCACCTGTCGACTATGGTTATATCAGACTCTAGTATTGTATAGGAGCTGGCATCCGTCTTATTATCCATTCATGAGGTGTCCAGCATCGCCAGCTTGATATCACGAAGACAATCTCCTTTTCAGACAGCAGTATGCCTGTAAAATAACTTCCTATTATCAGGGTCATCGGTAAAATCCTGACGGCAGAAAAGTTGAACTCATTTATCCGTACTTTCGTCAAAACCGACCCCCTCCCCCTCCAATCGATTGGTTAGCGTTTTTGAAAGAGACCTATTGCTCGGGTTCGGAACTCCGACTCTACTGTACTCCAGCACGCCAATTTAGAATTAAGTAACTGCCAAACTCAAACGATGATGATAACAACATGCGTGATATAGGGTACAATATCTGGCAATATTATGTGTACTGTCCTGAGGAGCTGTTAAAGTGGTACGGCAAATCACACGAACACCAAAGCTGGTTGCTCTTGAGCTATCTTTGTTGGGACGTGTGGGTTATGAAAAGGATTGTCGATCACGCACCAGGTACCAGCAACTTCTACTGTGTCTATCGTTCTAGTCCATAAGCC